TTTTTTTTTTTTTTTTTTTTTTTTTTTTTTTTTTTTTTTTTTTTTTTTTTTTTAAGAATCAAATTAGGGTATCAGTTATGTTTTTTTATTTTAAAAAAAATTCAGCTTATAAACATCATTTTAATAGAAAAAGCATAAAATTTAAAAGAGGAAAACAAGTTGCATGTCCGTTTTTTAAGCATTTTTTAAAAATTATATTTAAATTCTGAAAGAAAGCAAAATATCCTGTCCGTTTTTGAAGTTTTTTCTTTCACATGCATCTCCCTCTTTCTTTCAGAATTTAAATATAATTTTAGAAAAATGCTTTTGAAAATTTAAATACCCTAATAAAGTAGGCTAGACGGTCTATTTTCCAGAACGTCGTTAAATCCAATTGGAACAGGTAATGGAGAATTGGGTACCATTATTATTGGCCATGTTAGATTATGAACAATGTTGGACATAAAACATTTGTAAAATTTGGGATAATCTCGCAGAAAAAAAAAAAACACAATCATCTGTAAACCTAATGTATAAAATGGGCAAAGCGGGTCCACTTCGCTCACTCAACATTCTCGAGACTATTCTCGCCTTGCAAAAGGTTAAAGAAGAAAAGGAACGACAATGAAGGAATCTGTTGAAGTTAAAAAAAGAAGAATGAAGTGCCGTAGAGAATCTTTACTTCAACTTGTGAGAAATCTTGATATAGTTCAAGAGGCGTTTAAGAGCTTTGCCACTGTCGATGGCTTCTCTTGCCCTGTCCAGCGCTACGGATACATCTTCAGCGCCATTGCATCCCAACAAATGATCCACCATCCCAGCATTCAAAACAATTCTATCGTATGCTGGTCCTTTTTCACCATTAAGAGCTGCTAGGCCCAACTCTATGTTCTTTGACACCTGAAGATACACATTGCAAATCAATGAAAGAGTGCACTGCTGAATAATAAAATTACATAAAATCCTAATGCAAACAAATAAAAAAGAAACGAAAGCCATTGGATAATTAAGATCCATATAAGATTTCGATCACAAGGACTTCCGAACCTAGGCAATCATCATGTCTATTTTTACATCAACTGTTTGTCTTACAGTTTTTTAGCACAATTTTTAAAGTTTTTATTATTAAGGATATATTCCCATGAATTCTACGATTGAGATTTCTTTTAATGTATATTTTACAAATTTCTTTAAATATCAACTTTAATGATAATACACAAAATATGTTAGATTTATAAAATTGCTCGAATATAATAGAAAATAACATACAATTTGAAGGTCCAATGGCTATTAAGGGTCGTGATTAGAACAAAATGTTTGAAGATGTCTACTGGGTAAGAATGGGTTTGGGTCGATAATACATAACAAAAAATATATATATATTAGAAGACATACTTTTGGCCACAAAAATATTTCAAATAAATACATTGTGGAAGAGAGAGAAAACGAGAGCAATAAAGCAGGAAAAGAGAAATGGAATGAGAGAGAGAGACACACAGAGAGAGCAAATCAAACTAACCACATTAGAGATGAACTGTAGAAGGTGAAGAAAAATAGAAGAGAAAGAAAAAGCAAACCCCAGAGTTTCAAAGAGAGAGACGGGGTTGGAAGTGATGAGTGAAAAAATCAATCGAGGGCTGGGGAGTGTGTAGACTTCAACAATAAAGAGCGCTGAAGTCCGTGGAGTGGGGTAACCAAGTCCTTCTTTGTTAAGTCCTTGGGCCAAACAGGGAATGAGCTTTTAATAAGTCCCCACCCCAACTCCTTTTCCTTGGGAAAATCACCCGTGAGAAAGTTGCCAAAAAGGTTTTCTGACCGGGTACAGAAAGAGCAATGTTTACTGTATCTTTGAGATTTTTTCTTTTCTAGGAAAAAAATAGAGAAAAGGCTGCAAACCTGACATCTTTAGGATTCTTCAAATTCCCAGCCTACTTTAATTTATAGGTTGAATTTAAATTTTAGTTACTCATCTTTCAATCTTTCAATTTTGTATTTATTTAGTCCCTAAACTTTAAAAATTATAAATTTAATTTCGAAATTTTCAAAAGAATTTAAACTTTACAAATCTACTAGATACAAAATTGATATTTTAATAGACCCAAATGGCTGATAATTTAGCTTAATTAATAACAAATTCCTCCCCATTCTCCGGTAAAAATTGGATTAAACCACAAATTTTATCTGTATTAGAACAAGGTCGTCCAAAGTGTTGGAAAAAAGAGATGGAAATAATAATTAGGAAAAAAAGTAAAGAAAGTACCGATCTATCGGTCCTTGGAGTATCAGTGGGTTGAAATCCATAGTCTGCGGCATTGACCGCCAGGCTGAAACTATGACGAGATACTCCTGCAATCACAATTGTTTCATTCTTTACGTGAATTCATGCCAAAAAGGTTAACTGATCTTCATCTTGATATTCAGAATTAGTAAGCCAGAAAAACATAAGGGTTGATGTTTAAACCATCAACTTCAAACGCTGATTGCTTGCTCAGTGATCGAAAACCGGAACAGTAGTTGACAGGAAGTCCTTTTGAAGCATCGGCTGACCGCAACCTTGTCGTCATTGAGAGGGCTCCTTCCTCACCCTGTAACAAGAATGAGAGAAATGTTTAAGACAATGCACAATTAGCAAATTGAGTCATAAAACCTCTCCATTGTGAAAAGGCAAGTTCCAGAAATCAGGCAAATAAGTAAACTCCATTTGGAAGTTACGGAGTTGTGACTTCAGAAACCTTATACATTTTTGCAATGCCATACCATGCCCAAATATAATCAATGTTTTATTTCATGCATACACAAGTGAGCTTAAAAAACATCCAGTGAGGAGCATATGATTTCTTAGATATAATTTAATAGATTCAATTCCAACCTTCACCACTAAGCCGGAATGAACACCCCTTCTCCTCATTAGCATTAGAAGTGGCTCTTCATAACCGTGATGATAGAATCCAGTCACAATAGCTTCCTTCCCTCTAGCCTGCATTAAGCATTATCCTCTGAGCGTTACTTATCCAGACAATACCAGTAGCAAATTACTATCGACTACCTATTTATTGGGAAGAAGCAAATCAATCAACAGTTTTATAATCATGTGCATATTTAACATTTATAACCTAGAACATGTCTGAAAGTATACATTCAACCACTTTTAGATAAAAAAAAGTCATTTTTTTAGATTCCTAAGCTAACGAACCATGTAAATGTCCAATAAACATCATGAGAAACTTGGGGTTCTGTCATTGGCTATTAAGCAAATCTACAAATAAGTTGATGCATATACCCTTAATATCATATTGTTATTGCACAATTTTATATTTGTCGCTGATATTCAAATAATCACTTATTGGTTATCTTAAGATAAAATCCATGTTTCGTAAGATACTATCAAACTGAAAGATCATGTGAAGTGCACATAATATGCTAAAAGATTGATCACACAACGTGGAGATCAATATCACCTTCACAAACTGCTGAACCTTTTCAGTCGTTGCCAATGGTGGCCGTTTCTTTATGTGCTCTCTCAGCCCAACCAATGAATATCTACAAATATAACAAAAAAGAATACTCTTTTCGCTCAAATAATAAGAAACAGGTTAAATATGCCAAACTGGGTTGGATCAATTAGGGACCACAACTAGAAAGAACTAACAGTATATGGCTATTATAAGACTGGTAAATCCAAACATTAGAGAGAAGAAAAGGCACGTTCTACAACAATAAATACACAATGACAATTAGCAAACTGATTAGAATTCATACAACGATGGGCGAGCTTCACGCTGACTTACATAAGCAAAACCAACCTCCTCATCCTGAAATATATTAGTGGTAGAAAAAAGATTAAGACGAAATATGACATTACGTGCATAACTGAGAATAACACAGGATCATAATTAATGTATATGTGAGAGTCGAACAGAAAATAGTGAACCTCAAGAAGTCTTTTAGCATGTGAGGGCATTAAGTTTGTGTTTGCGCCCATAAATTTCAGCATCTGCTCTTCAGTAACACCACCCTATAGAAGATGACCAATGGAAGAATTGAACAAACAAAGTTAAAAAAGATACACTCCGTTCATAGAGCACCAGATCATGTTTAACATAAAAAGAACATTCTGTCAAGTAACAATAAGATTTTGGATTAGAGCGATGGAATGAGTAGGATAAGAGGATGCTTTTATCAGTTGTATTGAAGCTTATCTGCGGGGAATAATCAATAACCTGTTTGCTAAAATAAAAAAGAAAAAGAAAAAGAAAGCCTGATTTGACCTTTGGGGGCATCCAATCCACACCATGGAGCAAGCAAGATTCCTCATAACAGGATCTAACCGCAGCAACAAACAATGTGCTCCTGAAATAACGTGTATTTCCATCATAAGGTTCCCCATAATGAGTCAATGATCTAACATCAGCAACTGGAGTAGGACCTATTTTCAATATTCATTATTGAATACTTAATCACGACAGCCATGGTTTGATTTTGATGTACCACATAAATATACTAATCAGTGAAAAATGCTTACCCGATTCTTCATCAAATGCAAGGCAATGTGCTTTGAGCTCTCGATCAGTTTCCCTGTTCATACGTTGACCAATTAGAAAGGCTGAAAGCAGTGAATGACTCACTCCCGACGACATCTGGCTTTCTGTTTTAAGTGGAAGCACATCTCTCATCACCCCTTGGACCTCCTCATACCCTAGATGCCCTCCTGCTAAAATTTCTCTGAGAGCACCAACCAACCTCATTTCACAGGACCCCTGCCCAATAAATTGAGGCCCAATCGAACTCCCTCCCATAATAGTACCCTCAGGATCAGCAAGGAAGATTACATCAGGAGTTAGAACTCGAACTAGGAGTGGCCAAAATGTGGTCATTGCCTTCTTTTCCCCTTCACTCCACTGAGTTGCCTCAGGAAAGACATTTGCGCGTATAGTCATTGCAGAAAAGAATGCTCCTAGCTGTGATCGTGACACTTCCTCTTCGCCTTTAAGATCCCCTTTAGCTGAAACATTGACAATGATAAGATAACAAACTCCTCCACTTCAGGCAAAATAGAAGCATTACATTAAATGCGACATCCAGCCGTGTCAGTTAAATAGGCTTCGTAGAACAGGATTGACTAAAATTTTAAGCTCTTTTTCATTACCTTTCCAATTTATTGTGTATTTAAACCATGACTACAATGACAAAATTTAGCCAACAACAACACTGGATCGATGATACATAAATATTTTTCTTGTCAAACACAGAACCATTGAACTTGAGGAAGATCAAGTTCTCTAAAATTTTGGCCTTGTATGAGAGAAAATGTATACAGGTTTTTAGTGCTGAACTGGTTCAACTTGAAGTTTTATAGAAGTTCTCTATAACTATCATTCCAATTAATTATTATTTCTAAACCGCGACAATTGTGGCAAAATATATCTAAGAATAAGATTGGAGTGAAGACGCCTAACTTTTTCTTTCTCGTTAAGCACAGAAACATTTAACTGAAGGAACAAGTTCAGCAGATTTTTAGCCTCGTATGGGAGAACACGTTTTCAAGAGTTCTACCTCTCGTCTTCTCCTCAAATATCAGCAATCCTACTCACCTCCAGCACCAAGTTCCCCCGGTAATATAAACGACGAATGAAACGTAACTAGTAACGAATATAGAAGTACCTGATGTTTCCTAAAAGAAAGAAATAAGTACCTGATCTTAAAATTGTGTCCAACACCTTAAACGCTTGTTCTTCGCCGAGCGGCCTGGTCTGTGTAGGTCCTGTGCAAACCCTAGCCTGAGCTTCCAGCACCGTCTGGTTTGGCTTCGGCAAATTCAAACTACGATACGAAGTGGAAATTGCCGGACTCTGCACATCTGATTCTGAAAGTCCTAATTGGTCCATCGTTGCCCAATCTAGTTCAGCTTTCGCGGTCAAGCATATCCGCTTCCCTCTAATCCAACGTCCTCGATCTTTAACAGGAAATACCAATGGAGTTGGAACCTGCAAACGTAGAAGATCTCTGTGTTTTCTCCAGCGAGTCTGATGTGCAGGAAAGACCGAAGATTCAGGATGGCAGAGAACTTTCATGTCGATCTCGATCTTCTACTCGCTGCAAACTTTGTCTGGAAATGGCGCAAAAAAAATGGAACACGGCTACTGGAATTTTATAATTGCCATTTTATATTGGTCTTTATCTTACAAGAGCTCAAAGGAAGCATTTCCTTCACAGTTCGATTTTCATTGGACGTCTCCTCCTTTTTTCTTATTTATTTATTATTATTATTATTCTTTTTTTATAGGTATTTGAACTCTCGGTTCTTTATTATATTTAATCCATTTGATTTATTATATTCGTTTTGAAACGAATTAATTGTTTTATAATATAGAATAATTTTATTAAAACAAAATTAATTTATGCTCTTTTGTATTAGTTAAAATCTCAAATTAATGAAACCATTCTTTAAATTTCGATTTTTTCAGAAAAATAAATCAAATTAAATATTTTTAGAAAATCCTATTATAATATTTAATGAATAATTTTGAAGCATTTTTAAATACTTAATTAACTTAAATTCAACCCAATTCATTCTAAAGTTTTTTTTTATAATTAATTTTTAAAAAAAATTAATTAGAGTACGTATTATATTCATAACTAAAATTTAATAAAACTGAATTATCAAATATTCATAAGTTGCAAGACACAAGACATCACTCATATCAGTCACTGACAGTCAAATATTTTTAATCGTAGGATAGTATTGGATTATAATTTTATTTTTGAGTTAGTCGGGTTGGTCAGATTGGCCCGACCAAAAAAAAATTCAACCTACAAACCGACCCAAATACATATTTTATGAAAAAGAATTAAAAGAATAAGAGATTAGAAAAAGATCGAGAATTTATTCTCCATCACTCTAAAAAATTCCCCCTTTTTTTTAAATGAGAATTTCATGTAAAGCTTGGAATAAGTTCTCACAAAACTCAACTTTTAGAGAAAGACTATCCCAGGTCTTATAGTTCAATGCAGTCGCGATAATTAAAATTTATGATATTTTGATCAATAATATAATATTTTAAATAATTAAGTTATACTCAATTTTATTTTTTAAATAGCATATAAATGGACTAAATTACAACCTTAAATTTTAAATTTTTAAGTATGTAGAAAATAAAAGAAAAAAACTTTTACTATTTTCTAAACTTATTATTATTATTTAGTTTAAGAGGTCCTTTAACTCAAATAAAAAAATATATATATATGATAGGTGAATAAATTTAAAATTTACGTTGAATAAGTTTATTGTATTTTAATTTATTATGTAATAAATCTTTGACCTATTCTACCTAATCATTAATACCCATATTAAACTAAAGAATTGATATTCTCCTATTTGCTAGATGTTTTGTCATTCTTAGAGTGAACTCCCGGTATTTTGGATTCATTTCCTTGCTATTTTAGATTATTCTAGAGTCGTATTTGGCTTAGTGATAGTCTAATTATTATGTCATGAAACATCGTAGGTATACTTAGATCTCAACAAACAGGATCCGACGAACATCAACACAAGAAATTAGTGATTTCAGCTTAGCCTTACAAGTAAGTGTTTTTATTATTGGAATGCATTCAGACTACATTGGATAAGTTGTAGCTCATCTATATGTTATTTCTTGTATGTTTTTTAGCTTTCTATGATATATATACTTTGCGTATATAGTCTATGTATGCTATGATCACATTCACATCTTACTCTATGAGACATTTGACGAGTCATGAATGATATGTCATGTACACACGCATGCCTCATAGGAAGGTTATGTCATGAAAAGTATAGAAATATGACATGCATCATAGCTATATACAGTGATTTGAAAAATGTGAGAGCTCGTGCATGTATGTCACGAGGACAAGATACTTCCTCAACATGTCATTGTATATACGCATACCCATGATATGATACACACTCCTTTCTTTCCATTGGTTTTCGACAGCATGAGCATGTGTTAGCCCGTAGTCAAGCCTACGAGGTACATATGCAAGCCTATCTAGTGAGAATTTATAGATAAATACTACACATCTAACTCTACTCATAAATAAAGTAGAACCCACATGAACCATAATTACACGTAATTGGTATCATTAGTTTGAAAATGAATTTATAAATATTTAAGTTCATGGAACGGTTTTAATAATTTTTCGCATAACCCGTCTGTACTGTTATTAAAAAAAAAAAAGTAGATTCGTTCCATTAGGGATCTACTATGCTTTTGAATCGAACCGATAGAAAATGAAAAGCAAGGAGAATACGCCACGTGGAGCATCTCATCCCCATCAGCCGGCTTCCTCAGACAACTAATGTGCGAGAACGTTAATGATGTTCTTAATCATAGACGCCAACAAGACAAAGGAAAAGAAACAGAAAACCAGTTGGCTTCGTATTATCCCCCGTCTCCTCTCTCCTTATTTTTCGTTTAATTAAGCGAATATATTTATTTATTTACATAATTAACCACTTCAATATTCAACTCAGCCGTTAGTATCAATGGCTATAGCTGATTGGCTTATTGTTATATCGAAATACGTCAAAATTATTATTATTTTTTTTTATATTTATTAAAAAGGGAAGCGTTAATATTACCTCCTCTGTTATCTTTCTTCCTCACAGCGAAACGAAGAACACCCAAAAGCACTGCCATGGTTTCAAACGCCGTCGTTTCACACTCCATCTTTCTACTAATTTTCTTCTGTTCTTCAGCAATCTGCATCCCCGACTCTAATCAAACTATGTTTCCAATGATATGTTCAACCATAATGAAATGCGACGCGTCGTTATATCACATCAACAACGGCCAGCAGACGAAAAGCGAAATCTCCGCCGCGTACTCCGTCAATCCATGGCAGATTCAGCCGATTCAACGCGGAGGCGTGCAAGACTACCTAATTACCGTACCGTGTTCATGCGAATCGGCGGACGGCGTATCCGGAACGGCGTATTTTCACGACACGTCGTTCAGAGTAGGAACCGGCGACTTCTTGAGCGATGTGTCGAATCGAAATTACAGCGGACAGGTGTGGATATTCGGCGATCCGTTGCTTGTTGCTGGAGAGGAATTTGGGGTGAAATTGTTGTGTGGATGTGTAGAAGATGAGTCGAAGATTGTGGTGAGTTACACGGTTCAGTCGCGTGATACGTTGTCGCAAATCGCTAGTTTGTTAAGAGCTGATGCGACCGCAATTCATAATTTGAATGCAAAATTGATTGAAGACCCTGCCTTAATTGTTCCCAATTGGGTTTTGTTTGTGCCGATGTTCAAGAATGCGTACCAAAATACCAAAGGTAACCTTATAATTCTCCTTAATTTTGAGTTAAATTATTACTACATTATTGTTTCCATTAAATTTAACCTTATTATTATTATTCTTATTAATTTAATATTTGTTACTTAAAAAGATTTATTAATAAAAAAAAATTAAAAATTAAGAATCTTTTAATAATTTTTCAATTATAAAAATAATTAAACAATAATAACAACAACTTGATCCAACCTGTACTTATCGATTATAAATTTATAAATTTATTTAGGTTGGGCTGGATTCAAATAAATAAAATTTTATAGATGATTTATTATTAATTTAAAAAAATATATTTTTGGTTACGCTATAATTATAAATACAAATTTTTTAATTTAATTTTCATGATGGTTTTTTTATCATTTATTCTACTTGGAAGGGTATATATACCTAATTGAATTGTAAAATTTAATTAAATATTCCTTTTATGGAATTATATTTTAGGAAGTTTTGAAAAAAAATGAACCATTCAAACCAATCTAATTTAAAAAAAAAAAAAAAGTGATCGGGTTGGGTTCATTATTTAATAAAAAAATTTACCACCCGAACAATCGAGTTAGGTCTAAAAAGGTTTCAACTCGACCCGACCCGATTCAACTCAACTTTAACACGTCTAAAACATGGGTTTTCTAATTTGTTTAAATGCAATTAAAATTTTTAAAAAACTAATTAAAAAAAATACCAATATTAATGAATTTGCAGCTAATATATGCTTTGTGGGATTAGGACCGACAAAGAAACATGTGTGGACAATAGTTATTGCAATATTAGCTACTTTGACAGTAGTTTCACTGGGAACATTGGCTGTCATTTTTATAAGGAGAAAATTAAAAAAGTCAAAGCAAAACAACGACCCCCAAAATTCAAGGGCACCTTCCAGGAGTTTCAGTACTTTCGGAACCTCCAGCTTCCAATATCCCTTCTCGAAGCCCAAATCGGAAGCCCAGAAAAGGTCATTCAGACAAGGTAAGAACAAACAGATCAGGGTTAAACATTAATTACTTAATTACTTACAGTAAAATTATCATTTACAGATGTTTCAGCCTTTGAATCCGAAAAAACTTTGATTTTTACCGTTGAGGAGATCCAAGAGGCTACGGCTAACTTCGATGAATCTCGCAAGATCGGAGAGGGTGGATATGGAATTGTTTACCATGGAGTATTGAATCAACAGGTTTTTATTTATTTATTTATATTAAATATTAAAAAAAAGAATTTATAATAATTACTTGTTTAATTTGCAGGAGGTTGCAATTAAGAAAATGAAATCTAATAAATCCAAAGAGTTCTTCGCAGAATTAAAAGTCCTGTGTCGGATCCATCATATTAATGTGGTATGTTAGCGACATTAATTCCATTACTTTTTTTTTTTTAATTTCAACATATTTTAATAAATTATTTATGTTTTATAATGTTAAATATTTTCCAGGTGGAGCTTCTGGGGTATGCCAGCGGGGATGACCATTTGTATTTAGTTTATGAATATGTTCCTAATGGATCCTTGAGTGACAATCTTCATGATCCACTAAAAAGAGGTATTCTAAATTAATTAATTAATGAGATAAATTTAAAAAATAAAATAATTATCAAACGAAACAATAAAAAATTAATAATGATTTAGGTTATCAACCTCTGTCGTGGACCACAAGAACGCAAATAGCTTTGGATGCTGCAAAGGGTATCGAGTACATTCACGATCATACTAAAGCACGATATGTTCATCGGGACATAAAGACGAGTAATATCCTCTTTGATGAAAGTCTGGGAGCAAAGGTAATGTTTTTATTTAACCTTATAATAAACTAGTTATATTGTATTTAACGGTTTCTTCTTTTACAATAGGTTGCGGATTTTGGACTGGTAAAGTTAGTCGGACGGACGAACGATGACGAACTCGTAGCAACCCGACTAGTCGGAACTCCGGGCTACCTTCCTCCCGAGTAAGAAGAAAAATAAAGCAAATAATCCATATCTAAAAATCTCCAAGTAATTCAATTAATTTTGTTTGGTAAATTGTGTGTAAAAGATCTGTAAAAGAGTTGCAAGTGACCCCCAAAACGGACGTATTTGCGTTTGGAGTGGTTTTGGCTGAGCTGATTACCGGGAGAAGAGCTCTGATTCGAGACAACCAAGAGCCAAAGAGAACCAAGTCGCTAATCACGCTTGTAATATTTTTATTTTTATTTTTATTTTTATTTTATTGTATTTTAGGCCAAATATATTTTTGAGTATTTAAAAATTTGTTTAGATTTACACGATATTCCAAGGGGAAAACTCTGAGGCTGCTTTGGAGGCTGTCGTGGATGGAAATTTGCATGGAAGCTACCCGATGGACGATATTTATAAGGTAAAACTACGAGTACAAACATATCATTTGAATGAATTACAAGGACCAAATAAAAAATTTTAAACTATATAAATCAATTTGAACCAATTAAAAAGGTTTTATAAGACAAATAACTCAATTTTTATTTATTATTATTTATTTATTTTTATGTAAAATGTGAAATGAAAGTGTAAGTTGAATGGGTGGGGGCAGATGGGGGAAATAGCGGCATGGTGTTTGAACGAAGATCCGGTGGGGAGGCCGGAGATGCATGAAATTGTTGCTTTGCTGTCGCAGCTTATGACGTCTGCCGTCGAGTGGGAGGCGTCACTGGGCGGTAACAGCCAGGTTTTCAGTGGCCTCTTCACTGGGAGATGATCCACAATTTAAACTCAAATTCCATGTTTACCCTTTTCCCTGCTTCTTTTATCTTCTTCTTTTGTATTGTTTTGTGGGATGAAGGAAGGCTGATTGTAATTATATTTTTATTTTATATCTAATTAATCAATTAATTTTAGTATTTTAAAATTACAAAAATCTATAGTCTTGAGCTGTTTGTGGCTGTTAAAGACAGAGGAGATATTGAAATTTATATTCATATTTAACAAAAAAATAAAAATAAAAAAATTTCTTTATCTCATACCCACTTGCGAGATGCGCTTTCTGAACAGGCTGCTTTATTTCTCTGTCCTTTCCGTCCTCCCGGGTTGGGCTCTCGCGTGTCCTGGACCGATCAAATCAACCAGCGACCGGTTTACAGAACAAGGAGTTAAGCAAGAACCAGGAGATTGATAAAGAACCCAGTCGAAGCTTGACTAAAAAGGGATTGTGTTCAACTCCGCGAGTTGACTGGTTGGAAGGGATTGCTTTCTGCCGTTTGTTTTTTTCTTCGAGATCTTCTTTTAGCAAGGGCCAGGAGATATAGAAGAACCCGGTCTAAGCTTGACTAAAAAGGGCTTGTGTTCAACTCCGCACGGTTGGCTAGTTGGTTGGAAGGGTCTGTTTTTTTCTTCGAGATCTTCTTTTAGCAAGGGCCAGGAGATATAGAAGAACCCGGTCTAAGCTTGACTAAAAAGGGCTTGTGTTCAACTCCGCACGGTTGGCTAGTTGGTTGGAAGGGTCTGTTTTTTTCTTCGAGATCTTCTTTTAGCAAGGGCCAAGAGATATAGAAGAACCCGGTCTAAGCTTGACTAAAAAGGGCTTGTGTTCAACTCCGCACGGTTGGCTAGTTGGTTGGAAGGGTCTGTTTTTTTCTTCGAGATCTTCTTTTAGCAAGGGCCAAGAGATATAGAAGAACCCGGTCTAAGCTTGACTAAAAAGGGCTTGTGTTCAACTCCGCACGGTTGGCTAGTTGGTTGGAAGGGATTGCTTTCTGCCGTATGTTTTACCTTCGAGATCTTCTCTTAGCAAAGTAGGTTCAAGTCACACTTTTGACTTGCTACAAGTTGGGCTTAGGAACTACAGCCAGCCGCTTCCCCTATAGTCGTCAGCTCGTTCTTGACAAATTTGATCAGGTGTTCATAATCTGGAGTAAAAGGATTCGAACCTTTGCATGCCGGTACCAAAAATCGATACCTTACCACTTGGCTATCCTCCATACGGCCTTGTTTTGGACGGTAGAACGAGGAGATATTCAAGAGGAATGATGTATTTTGTGTTACTTTGGTCAAACTTTTGGAAAAGAACCATTTTAGTAAATATTACATTTTTAGTTTACAAATTTGATTCATAGTTTCTTTTACTAGGTAGTATTTCACATATTTCAAGCTCAGACCGTTAACTATTTGTATGCTTATCTAAGTTTTTAGACACGTATGTATGTAAGACTCGTTTTTGGTCAAATACGACCCGTCTACTAAACTCTCTGACAACCTGTAACATCATATAATTTGACGGTCAGAAATTCTCGTTATTCTTAACTCAGCACACAATGCATCGGTCACGAATTTTGTAGGGATTAGTAAACTAAAAATACTCGTATGCAACCCATTGCATAATCAACTCATAAGCATAACATAGAGTCATACAACATTCCCATTTTGAGCTCGTAGCATGATCACATTTTATGCATGTGTTCATAAATATCACAAATTAAATCATGCCATTCACACATATCAATAATTTCATCCATAATTCTTCTACTAATCTACGACTTAATAGAACTAGTTCTTACAAATATAACAAGCCTTAATCCATTAACAACATTTTTTTTAAAATTTAGTTTCTTTATTTTTACTTATACAAAATATTACAGGTCAACTGGTAAATTAAATTTTCGATTTTCAGAAAATTTATTCAATATAATATTTATGATCAGGGTTCGTCATGTTATTATAAACACTCCTGCTCAAAATTGATATTTATATTCATATTTAATTAATTTGTTTTAAAACTAAAAATCAATGTAAATAGTTTGTATTTTAAAATAACTGTATTAAAGAAAAAAAAAAGAAAAAAGAGAGAGAGAGAGAGTAGAATTTACAAGTATAGAAACAATTTATTACGAGCCAAAAATAAAAAAAGTAGACCCAAGTATTTGAACAATAATTTTCAAAGTATTTTCACATCCTTACGCCGAACATGAATTTATTTATCAGAAAAAAGAAAACTCCCAATTGCAAACTAAAATAACTCGGAAATTGGAACATCTTGCCGCAGATCGTCCTCTAGTAATGGTCGAGCGTCGGAATCCAGATGACACAAGTTTCTGGCGCGACGATGTGCCGAATTGATTCAAGTAGATCTACCGTTCTAGCCAGTTGATTCTTCTGCTGGACATCGCGAGATCTCCTTCAAGTTCTTATGCTCTCCTTGTTTTCGCGAACAACCTAGCTAGCCGGAGGAAGAATTGTTTCTAGTGATTTACAAACCGTTTTCTGATTTGAATCAATGGCGGGGGCGGCCTCCGCGCTGTTCCTATTAGACATCAAAGGGCGTGTTCTCATTTGGCGCGATTATCGTGGCGATGTCTCGGCAGTTCAGGCCGAGCGCTTCTTCACCAAGCTCATCGAGAAGGAGGTTCTGGATCTTTGTTTAATTTGATCGGTCCCTGGTAGAACCATAGTCTTATTTTCTTTTTAGGGCGAGCGATTTAGTTTCTGTTTACTAGTAAATTGGTGATATGCGATTGAATCAGAGAAATTGGAGGTCCTCGTATCGGATTTGTTTCTAATTATATCATTAGGAAGCAGATTCAAACAAAGAAATGGCAAATAAAATGTTTTGAGTCTCTATCTAACAAAATTTTCAAAATCTTTTGATGTCAGGGTGATCCGCAGTCTCAAGATCCAGTAGTTTACGATAATGGAATAAGCTACATGTTTATTCAGCACAATAATGTGTACCTGATGGTTGCTGCGAGGCAGAATTGCAATGCTGCTAGTCTTCTTTCCTTTTTGCACCGACTAGTTGATGTAAGTTGTATATATGATCAGAGCGTTCTCCAACAACGTATTTTGGTCTTTCAAACATGTTTAATTTGGATTAATGATAGTGTACCCATTATCTTAGTTCCTAAAGTTACAAGGTTCAATAAGACTTTGGATAGGATTTCTAAAAATTCAAGGCTACTTAGGATCTTCATTTTCTATCAACAAGAGGAGAATAATTTTTTGTCCGATTAGCTTACCTTTCTGCGTTGTGTCTGCGGTAAATGGTAATGAAATTCCATTTGTGTTTTCCTTGCAAAATATATAGGATTTAGGTAGGTTTTGGGACTTCTGAGCAAATATGTTTCATGAGAAAGAAAAGAAATAAATTATTGACATGAATCGGTATACCACAGGTCTTCAAGCATTATTTTGAAGAGCTGGAAGAAGAATCACTTAGGGACAACTTTGTTGTGGTGGTAAGATATGCCTCTCACCGACCGAATCCTTATAAATTTCTAACTTTTACCGTAGCATGTATTGTGATTTATGTCAGGTGGTGAATGATAATATTAATGCTTATATTCTTTGTAGTATGAGTTGCTTGATGAAATCATGGATTTTGGTTATCCTCAATACACCGAGGCAAAAATTCTTAGTGAGTTTATAAAGACTGATGCTTATAGAATGGAGGTTGCTCAGAGGCCACCCATGGCAGTAACAAATGCAGTTTCTTGGCGGAGTGAAGGTATAAATTACAAGAAGAATGAGGTATGTGTTCTTTGAAAGAATAAGCTGCATATGTTCATTGGTGATTCTTAAAGCTTAGTAGGTAATGTACTGTTCTTATTTCTCCAGGTCTTTTTGGATGTGGTGGAGAGTGTTAATATACTTGTCAACAGTAACGGGCAAATAATTAGGTCAGATGTTGTGGGGGCATTGAAGATGAGAACTTACTTAAGGTCTGCTCTCATAGTGGTTTGAGAAATTTACATCTTGACACGGAAAAAGCTTGTACTTCGTTCACTTCCATATTGCACACAATATCCTCAAAAGTACTTTGTAATCAAGAAAAAGTTTTTAGTCTTTCATACGTCTTGTTATTGGTTTGCTCTCTCTTTTACTTTCAATTAAGAAACGATTTTAAACTGTTCTAGCAAACTCTGAACTGGGAAACTAAACCGTTCAGAAAGTATGATCTATTTAATCATTCTAGCGAGCTTAGAATAAGTGTTAACTTTGAAAACATGTGAATATTGTCTATGCAGTATTGTCGAGATCTTCATTTCTTTGCTTTCTGTTATTTCAATGCTTTATTATTATGTACATAAGCACTTATTCGTAACTTGGCCTTCTGGTATTGTTGAAACCTTCATTTTTTTACTTTCCAGTCTCCCCATTCAGTGATTTGTTATAATATCCTTCTCATTCCATTTGTATCTTTGCTAGTTGGTTTGCAGAAATTAAGGTTTGGTTTTGTTTATTGTTGTAGTGGTATGCCCGAGTGTAAGCTTGGGCTCAATGATAGAGTATTATTGGAAGCACAAGGCCGAACCACAAAAGGGAAAGCTATTGATTTGGAAGACATCAAATTTCACCAGTATGTATCACCATGTGGTGTATTCATTTTCTTGTACTGGCAATATCTGTGCATTTTGTTGGGCTCGGATGCTATATATAGTAATGTATGACTTCATAAGCGTTAGGTCAGTTTATATGTTATCTAAGCATCAAACCAAATGCTTTTTTTTAGGTGCGTACGTTTGGCCCGCTTTGAAAATGATCGGACCATATCCTTCATACCACCAGATGGAGCTTTTGATCTCATGACTTATAGACTGAGCACTCAGGTTTGATATGTTCACGTGGATGCTATTTTCTAAGTCACGTTGGTTTATTCATTGCTTCCTTTTATCTTGTAATTTGATGTGCTTCATCGTTTTGTATCGACAGGTAAAGCCTCTTATTTGGGTAGAAGCTCAAATTGAAAGACATTCAAAAAGTCGTATTGAGATTATGGTAAAAGCAAGAAGCCAGTTCAAGGAGAGAAGGTATATTAGCCTTTACAAAAAAAAAAAAAAAAAAAAAAAAAAAAAAAAAAAAAAAAAAAAAAAAAAAAAA